CTCCTGCATATTTGTTGAGCGATTGGTTCTTGTTTTGTTTGTTCCCATAGTTTATTGTTGGTGATTTTTTCCGGCCATCTGATCTTCAGTATAGAACGAAGACAGCTGTTGATAAAGGTCTGCAACAGGCTGTTGGAAATATTCGTTGTGACCCACCAAGTTTCTGATCCGTATAGAAGAAGTGACTGACTTGACGTTTGCACTGAAAATCCGAATTTTGTTGTTGATGCTGATCCTATAACTCGCCTTAATGTAATTTTTAATCCCACCTACCTTTTCATGGTGTTTTCCATCAATCAGTCCAAAGCAGGTGTTATTTGATTTCGTTGGCATATGTTCCGTGTTGACTCGATAAACAAAGATTCAGGGATCAATCCGTTTCTCTCTCCACCTAACTCTATTACTTTTTAATACTTTTTTCCCAAATTCCCCTCCCTTCCTACGGTGTGATTACATTCAAATGAATGAACAGCAGTGGCCAAGCCTTTTTTTAGACTATTTAACTTGATGAGGTCAACCATTCTAGATCTACTAAGCTCCTGTGTTGTGATTATCTAACTGACTCTGGTTTATTAGTTTGACCTGTGTAGCTGACCTCAAAGTCATTACAGGGTATTTGTTAAATTATATTACTTCGTTAAACTGTCTGTTATATCCTTAAACTAACAAACTTCATCTCTCAGTGATTTGGTTGGTTTTAATGCCAACCAAATTACAATCCCAAGGCATAACCTTTGATTATATCTGCGTATATACGGTAGTACTATCGAAGCTTTAAATTACTTATTATTCATATTATTGTCATTATTAACAATAACTATTCCTATTTTAGGATTTCATCGTGAACTAACATTGGTTAGAGGGCCATTGGAAAACCTGTAGGGAGAACTGCACAGCCAGTTGTTTCGTCCTAGTTTGGGACTCTTCACAGTACTCACCCATCTACAGATTTCGAAAACATGACCTTCCGGTTACAAGGCTAGCGAGCTCGTAGACCATTCATCAGCCACGGGGATCCAATCCAATGACCAGCGCCTATGAATTGTAACTTCTGCCAATTCATGATATGGCTCGACCACTGGCGAATGTCATCACTGGTGAGTATTTGCCCTCACACCCGACCTTCTGCACCCCACTCGTCAGGACTCCACACTAAAACCCAGTGGGAACCAACCAAATCCCTGCAAAGCAACACTTGAATATTCCTACTCTTATTTTGGATTTTTCTAAAACATTTGAATGAATCCTAGGGGATAGGAACTTTAATTTTTCGTGCTTGAGAACATCTCCCAGTATGGCTAACTAAAAGTGTATGTAGTAAAAGCCATCAACAGGTCGATATTAGACCTGCTGGCCCAAACCGGCAGGCCAAAAAGCTAGCATTCAAGAATCCTTCTCTATCATTTACTGGGTACCAAACAAATTGCCAAAAACATTGAGATACCTCATGCTCCAAACATCACAGGCTATTGTGACTCGCCTGAAACAACCGTTGGTCTATGTGCAAAAGAAGTAAGTTCAGTCAGCCACTACTACTGCCCTGGCCAGCCTTCAGTGGAGATTATAAATTCATGAATTTGTATTATTATTTCTCCTAATTTTCCTGATATTCAGTGTATTGTTATGTTGACGCCATCGAACTGTAATCTATTGATACTATTATTACTGATTCGGTGTTATTTAAGCAACATTAATGTTGTTAGTAATAACACTAATTCATTCATTTACTATTATATATATATAACTGTAGAACCTGATGATGAAGTTATCGAAAAGAGTATTCTCTGTTCAGTAACCATTCTTTAGAAGAATCTCTATTCGTCGAATCGATATCGAATACATATAACAAACATAAAGGACAACATTGAGATATTCAACATCACTGTTAAGTAATTTCTTCAATGTGGGTCAGAGACTTGGCACTTCACCGAAAGCATTTCAAGCAGGCAACTTCAGATTTCTATCAACAGCTCTTTTCTCCACCCCGCCAGGCTGAAGATCGGGTGGCCTATCAAAAAGGATTAACCACCAGGAACTGGGGCAATGAACCAACAATGGACTTATTGGTTAGCGAATATCCTGAGGAAAGTGGAGATGGATTGGACACACTCTGCTAGACATCGCATGCTAGACAAACCCTATATTATTATTATTGTTTCCTTTAATTCCTAGAGGGACATAGGGCTTCAGCCAAACGTCTCCATTACGTTCGGTTCTCTGCTAGAGTTTTCACCTGACTCCAAGTCTGCCCACACGTTTTCATCTCCTCTTCACATGACCTCCTCCAAGTCACCCTTGCACTGACGACCAACTCGCCGCTTCCCTTTCGGCCAGGTTCCACTCGAGCAATGGCTTGTCTAGTGATGTCACTTGATGGTTTCCTCAGAGTATGGCCAATCCATCTCTATTTCTTCCTGCCTATTTGTTGCACAATCGGTTCCTGATTGGTTCGCTCATTGCCAGAGATCCCTCCCTGTTGCTGATCTTTTCTGGCCAGCCATTTGATCTTGAGTATTGAGCGAAGACAACTGTTACTGAAGGTCTGTAGTTTGCTTGAAGTGCCCTTCTTGACGCGACAAGTCTCTGATCCGTACAGTGAGTGGCACTAACTTCACATTGGAGTTGAAAATCCGGATCTTATTTTTGATGCTGAGTGTTGTTGACCTCCACAGAGATTTGAGAGTAGTGAAAGTTTGTCTTGCTTTTCCGATTCTTGCTTTGATATCCTCGTCAGTTCCGTCGGCCTGTAGTTGAAACGATGCTTCCCAGGTAAGTAGGTGAAGGAGGTTGTTTCTTTCAGGTTCCTCCCATTTATGCTGATCGTTGTCTGTTGTTGTTGTTGATGTTGGTGGTGTTGCCCAGGAATCTTCACCACCTCTGTTTTATCTATGTTCACCTGAAGTCCTATCTTTGATGCTTCTTCTGCAAACTTGTTGCTCTTCACTTGCTTGGATTACTTGGCATGCAGCATTGTCGTACAACTGTTGGATGAGATGTACTATTGTTGGTGGTACCCCGTAGTAGCAAAGTAGTTGCCAAAGCAACTCTCGATCGACGCTGTCGAAAGCCTTTTCAAAGTCGATGAAGTTGCGATAGAGAGGTGGAACCCTATAGTGGAACTCGAATGGGAAACAACCAACTGGGTTTCCAGTCTGAGGGTGACATGGTGGAGATCGTGTAAAAAGGAGATTACAGCTAATTGACAATCGTGGAGTCATCTGTAAAGGACTTCAGAGTCGAGGAGAAAATGGAGGTGTGTTGTTGAAGACCCAGTGTTCCACGACGAATCTTTTTTTAATTCCTCTACGTTCCCAGTGGAACATAGGGGGTTTCAAGCTAGAGGCTTGGAGTTTAGGTAGCAGAGGTGTTTATTTTTACGGGATGGGGTTGTTAGTCTCCTGTCCAACTTTCCCTCTTTACTAGTCTTATTACTGGCTTGGTGTGGTAAAGAAGTGAGTCAGCCGGGGAATGAACCCTGATCACCTGCTTGGTTGGAGAGCATTCTACCGCTGTGCCACCGACGCACAGCTAGGAATATAAGGCAATAATAATAATATAATGATAAACATACAATAAGAATGAAGTAACCAGCACCTGTCTCGGATGCATGGAAAAAATCATTAAAAGACCAGATGGATTAAAAAATCAATAAATAAAAAGTCAGGAAGTAGTGTGATACACAGACATATGATTATAATCAATAAATTGTGCTTGAAAATTCATCCAATTATACGTGTAGTGTGTTATCATTGTGCGTTATTCAAAATAAATTTATGCAGTATCGAATTATATATGCTATCTTAGTGACCAAATTCAACTCCCTCAATTGACTGTACACTGCTAATCTGATTGACCCTGTCCTGTTAATATATGTGTAAAACTTGGGCACTGTGGTAGTAAGTAATTCCATATTAGTTTGTTTATTAGATGTATCACACAGTCACTGAAACAGTATCATTTACTGGATGACGTTTCGAACAAAATTTATTGCTGTTCATAATCATATCATCAATTATAATCACACAGCTTCGAAACTTGAGTTTTATAGTTTTCTTTCTCTTCTCCTGTTTGTAGTAGGGGTAGTAGAATTTCCCAAATGTTCGACTGGACAGGTGTTGAATCATTCCCATCACACGTATTCTACCTCATTTGATTCGATAAACAAAGCTTCTGTTATCAATCTCTCCCTATACCCTGTGACACTAGATTTTAAAACTGTCATCCTATCCCATCCTATTGTGTGGTTGTGTGTAACTGCATGTAGTGAATGCTAAAGCTGAACTACTCTCCAGATTTCTTATCTTATTCAGGTCAACCAATCTAGACTTTGTTAGGTTTTTATGTACAGCTAGTCTGACTGCCCCTGTTCTACTAGTTTGACCTATGTATTTGACCTGACAATCATTGCAGGCAGGGTATTAGATAAACAAAATTGTTTTGTTTTAAAGGCTCCACAGGATTGATCCTTTAACCGACAAAGCTCGTTTCTAATTGAGTTTGTGGGCTTGGATGTCAGCCACTTTTATTGCTGCATTGTTTAGAATTCTCTGTAAGGTGGTTTCCGAGGTTCCTTCCTTGTGTGGAATTACTACTGATGATTTAGATCCCTTATTCTTGGTGTTGTCATTATCGTGCGCATATTTGACATGCATGTCGTCATTAATATTTATTCTATTTTTACGTTTCCTTACATATTTCCTGACTAATTTATCAGGGTTATTATTAAGTTTCAAGGCTTCTTTTACATACCTCACTTCCTGTCTTAGATTTTCCTTGGTACTACTTAGTTTTTGTGCTCTGTCCTACTAATTTGGCCTATGCATATAGTTTAGCTTATCTAATACCCTGAAATGATTGTTAGGTCAAATACCTTACCATAGGGTGAGAGGAGAGATTGAAAATTGAAGCTTTGTTTATCGAATCAAATACCGACTCAAAATACATATATATATATATATATATATATATATATATGGTTAATATATACATATATTACTTACCATAGGCTACCAATGTTATATTTATCAAAAACCTCAAAATAAATGAAGCCAGAAATTGTTTACGTGATAAATCACAACTGGGCGAAGTCTGCGAATCAGTTGGCATATCAGCAGAATTGGTGACTGATGAAGACGTTGTCTGTATAGCTGTCCTAGTACACTGTGAATTCCAATTCTCCAAAGCACATAAAAACAGAATAGCCAGGTAGAATTCAATAAAAGTACCAAAAGCTTCACAAATAAATCCAATCCATACTGCGACATTTAAATCCGATTGATAATTCGGCAGATTCTGAGGATTTAACATGTCGACAGCTATATCATACCGATCAGAATGATGCACTGTTAGTCGCCATGACCACCAATATTTACAAATTTCTAGAGCTATAGACGCGGAGAATAGTTGTGCAGTCCATGATATTACCATCCAAAGAGGTTGTATTTGACCGATGAGATATCTGACCATAGAAATGAAAATCAAAAAGAGAAAATCGGAATCAATAAAGATGCGTCACATTGTAATATTACAATTCAACCCGGCGGCATTTTTGAATTTTGCGCAACCAAAAAAAAATACACCATTTTGATTCAATTTGCTACAAATATTTTTGTTCGCATCGGTCAAAAATGTCTTCTGATTAGTTGGAGGAGTTCATTGTGAGCTGACATCGGTTAGAGAAGCATTGGAAAACGAACTGAGAGTACTGGAAAGCTGTTTTGCTCTAGTTTGGGACTCTTCATCAGTACGCACCCACCGGAGTTGATGAAATCTTCCAAACAATCAAACAGAAATCCCTATAGAAACAAATACTTGAAAATTGATCTGATGCTCATTAGTGACTGGCTCTGTTCAGGCATTGAGTGACCTAGGGTTCTAGTGAGAAGCTGTGACCAGTAGGGTACAGCAGGTTGAAGGTGAGGCAGTAACTCATCGAAGAAGACATTGCGAATCGGTTGCGCTGTCATCAATTGACAGAAGTTAGAATTCATGGGCCGACCATTGAATCTGGTCCCAGTAGCTTAGTGGTCTACGAGCTCGCTAGCCTTGTAACCAGAAGGTCCTGGGCTCGAACCCTGGTGATGGGTACGCACTGATGAAGAGCCTCAAACTAGGACGAAATGGTTGTCCAGTACTCCCTGCATGTTTTCTAATGGTTCTCTAACTGATGTCAGCTCATGATGAACTCCTCCAACCAATCAAACAAAATCCCTACAAAACTAATACTTGGAAATGTCTTCTGATCGTATTATTTATTTTCGCGTGCTTTTAAAATCTCTCCTCTCAGATAATTGAGGAAAAACATCACGCCCTAGTTGGCAGCGTGCATTAAAACATACAGACATTAATCATATGACTGTCCTCAAAGTTGTTAGTACTAACTGCAGGTCTCTTCCCAGCAAACAAGGGGCTATCTCAAATTTCTAATATCCCAAAATAGTTTCTGCACTGGATTGTTCTTATATGAATAAATTCGTATTCTGAAGTTGACAAGAGGTCTCACGTAAATGGTCTTTCAACTGAATCCATGCAGATGTCATATTGTTGATTACAGTTTAAGATGCGAATAAGACTTCCGTGGACTGGCTGATTCAGTTCTATGATTCCAGTATAACATTGATGTCTCTGTGATAGGGGGTAGATCAGATATCTCTCATCTCGGCACCTCTTTCTCTTCAAATCTCCTTTGGTCGTCTTATATCCTGTTGATTTCTAAGAATGATATTTTTCGTTTGACTAATTACATAAAGAAATTGGGACTTTTCGACTGGCATTAGTAGTCAACCTCTTCTCTTACAATTTATTAATTTGTGTATTCTCGCCATTCTTCTTTATTGTTCACCCTTATTCCTCCCTCGACTTGTCAAAAAAGACTATATCATATTATGTAGACTATTTACACTTGTAAGTAGGGTTAGTGGTATGCCCTTGACTCAGCTGACTGACATTATTGTCAATAGGTATTTCAATTCTTGCAAGCAGTTGGCTAAAGTTATCTTATCTGATACCAAGCATCCTCTCCACTCATTCTCAACTTTATCCTTGTATCTTTTGGGGTAAAACCATAAGAAATTTCATGAGAATTTATGCTCGTACAACTAATATATGTAGGGTTAAGCATCCGTCGAGTGTTTGGTTAGGAAGGAAATTAAATCGACGAGGTTATGAAGTTACACCGATTGAGATGGTTAGGACATGTGTTACGCATGCCTTGCTTAGCCAACGCCTTCCTCGACAACGGGCAATGTTAGCTGCCGACGTAGGATAGATGATCAGGTTGTTGGAGAAGAGCTAGTGGTCGGTGGCCAGTTCAAAACATGGCTTCATCAGTCAATCAAATCCACAACAGTTAGTTTAAGCCAGCCAGTCACGTGGGGAGGTGTCAACTTCCCAACTGGCTGGTTTGGGTTCTCGGGACAGTAAAACTAATGATGGCTGGAGACAGTTGGTGATATGGCTGAAAATCCTCGTTGTTAATGATGGCGCAGACACATTCACTGTTTGTGATTGATAATATCCAATAAAATTCTATTGCTATTCCTTATTACTACTTTTCTGTTCCCTTCACTCACACTCCTGTTTATTATACCTCCCTCTTTTGAATCTCTCTTTACTCTCTTCTCTTGCTTTGTGTGCTACATGGAGGGAAGAGTGGCAAGTTGAACTGGTGCACATCTGTGTAAAGTTCCAGGTTGAAAGCAATCAGTCAGTCGGTATATACTGCAGATTATCTGAAATGCCTAGTCGCACACCACTGTAGTCAAACAGTAACACCTGCAACGAAGATAAAATTGACACAAACACCGGATGGGCATTTGGTTCATTAAGAGTCGAGCTTATCAGCAATGTACTCATAGAACGAAATCAGTTCCAACAACCTAAACAAAATTTTAGACTGAAGAGCTGAATAATTTCACGTTAGGTATTATCCCTCAAAACCATGCAAAAAATGATGTCACATCCCACTGTTTTTACCAATTTGAATGTACCTGTGGACAAACATAAACATGGGGAGGACTCATCAATCTCTGCAAGTAAGGCCTGGCTTCAGAGCATATTCCTAAATGGCTCCAGAAGCCAAACAGAATTTTTAGAACTCATTAATAGTGAGAACAGACGACGACCTAGCTCCTCTATTGCGAAACATATTATAGAGGAGACAGGACATAAAATTGATGTTTACACGTCTTTTAAACCTATCTATAAAATGTGCTTGGGGGAGGGCGTATCCTTAAGTTTGTGGAAGCCCTAGCTGGCAATTAGAAAGTTTAAACCACCTTTATGCGTACATTAGAAACAATTCGTCATCATCAAACTAAACCTTCCTACGTAAACTTTGTTTTGATACAATCTAGGGTAGATTTATCATTACGTCTGTTATTTGGTTTATTGATCATCGTTGTTATTTTGACCTTGAATATGTCCTTTTAACTTGACCTAAGTCTGTTTTGTCACCTCTTAACTCTTTATTAATTTCATATGTCAATTCCTATGACAATTCCGTGTGTGCGTCATCAGATTGTTCGAAATGTGTTGTGCGCAAATACGTCTTCTTATTGCTTTGTCTAACTAAATTCATAAAGGGAACTAATTGTTTTAAATAGTGGAGTTATTGAACCACCACTTTCGTTTTTACGTATCATTGAATACTTTTCGAACATCCCCTTGTGATCCAGAATTATTGTGAAATATGGTAGGACTTCAGGTGAACATATAGAAAACAGAGGTGATGAAAATTCCTGGGCAACACCACCAACAGCAACAACAACAACAGACAACAATCAGCATAAATGGGAGGAACCTGAAAGAAACAACCTCATCCACCTACCTACCTGGGAAGCATCGTTTCAACTACTGGCCGGCGGAACTGACGAGGATATCAAAGCAAGAATCGGAAAAGCAAGACAAGCTTTCAATACTCTCAAGTCTGTATGGAGGTCAACAACACTCAGCATGAAAATGGAAGTAAGATCCGGATTTTCAACTCTCCAATGTGAAGTCAGTCAGTGCTACTATACGGATCAGAGACTTGGCCAGAGCGTCATAAAGACCATCTCAAACAAACTACAGATCTTCATTAACAGTTGTCTTCGCTCAACACTCAAGATCAGATGGCCGACCATAAAAGATCAGCAACAGAGATCTCTGGGAGTGAACCAAACAGGAACCGATTGTGCAACAAATAGGCAGGAAAAAATGGAGATGGATCGGCCATACTCTGAGGAAACCATCAAGTAACATCACTAGACAAGCCATTGCTCGAGTGGAACCTGGCCGAAAGGGAAGCGGCGAGTTGGTCGTCAGTGCAAGGGTGACTTGGAGGAGGTCATGTGAAGAGGAGATGAAAACGTGTGGGCAGACTTGGAGCCAGGTGAAGACTCTAGCAGAGAACCGAACGCAATGGGGACGCACGGCAGAAGCCCTATGTTCCTCTAGGAATTAAAGGATACAATATTAATATAATAATGTACCATCGATGTGTGGTGAGAACTGTCTGACAAAATTGTAGACAACAATTTACGTCAATGTTTGCGTCTCAAATCGGGGTCATGAGAAAAAGCAAGAACAAAGACTAACCTTGAGGAACTCAACAACTAATCACACAAGACTTAGCATGGGCGGATACGATTCGCAGATATACCAATGGACTGTCTAAGAAACGGCAACAAAGAGATGACAGAATGCCCTTCAACTGGAAAACAACCAATCAGAAGACGTTACCTCTCTGCTAATAATAAAGCTAATAATAATGGAAATAAAAATCTATAAATATCTGTTGATTTTCTAAATAAACCATCTGGTGCCTAGTCCTTGTCCTCTGTCGCTACAGATGTCTATTGACGCTTGTTTTTATTGGTTTGCTTTCTTCGTCAACTGTGCCTTCTCTATATTCAGCTAGAGTCCTGTCTTCGCTGCTACTTCGGCGGATATGCTGGTTTCTGTTTTTAAATCTTCGAGCTTGTGAGACATCGGATTTAAATTATTCTTGATGTTCAGATATTCGCGGTTTTTCATCGCATGCTTGTCCAGTTATGAGATTCATGTATCCACATTCAACTACTTCATATCACATAGAACACACACACATATATACTATACCCTTTGTTTGAAAATATATCACTTCGAAACTATTATTATCATTCCTCTCGGTTCAGAGTGGAATACAGGGCCTCAGTAGCTCACCTTTATTCCATCCCGTCCTCTGCATTCCTTTGTAGTTGGCTCCACGATTTCCCCATAAGCTCTCATTTCCACCTCACATGATTTCCACCCATATCAACTTCCAACGTCCAAATTTTCGTTTCCCATTCTGGTTGTCACTGGCGGGCTACATCACACAGCGGTCTCCTCAGCGTATGTCCTATTCCATTTTCATTTTCTTCTGCATTTCTGTCACATAATATTTTCTCGGTAGTTTAGTTACCACAGTTAGTTATTGCTAATCATTTCCGGTCACCTGATCTCCAGTATGAAACAAGGAGCGCGGCTGTTGATAAAAGTCTCCATCAAGCTGTTGGAAATGGTTTTGGTGACTAGTGCGCCAAATCTATGAACCAGATATAAGCAGGAATTAATGTAGGTGTGCTGAACGAAGTAGATCCCTAACCCTGTGGTGAGAGCTGTCTGCAAGACAAAATTGTAGACAACAATCAACGTCAATGTTTACGCCCCAAATCTTGGTTATGAGAAAAGAAAACAAGAACAAAGCCTAACCTTGAGGAGCTCAACAATCAATCACAGCAGACTTAACGTGTGCAAATAAGATTCACAAATGTATCAACGGACTGTCTAAGAAACGGCAACAAAGAGATGATAGAATGCCGTTCGGCAGAAAAACAACCAATCTAAATAGGATGCTTCTCTGCTAAAATAATGCTAATAATAATGTACATAAAAATCTATAAATATCTGTTGATTTCCTCAATAGACGATCTGTTACCTGGCCCTTGTCTTCTGTCATTACAACCCAACCCTTAAATGGATTAACACACCCCTCCGTGACGCCTGCAGTTGAAACTAGTATATGTCTATTTCATACAAGGTTTCTCTGCAACCACGCGCAGGGTCTGGGTTTGATTTTTTGGCCAACACACTACTAAACCCCACTTGGCCACTGACAAGCCCAGTAAAAAAGGAGGGTTAAGCGTCAAACCGGCAACTTTATAACGCAAAGACTTCACCACACTTCAAAATACAAACGTTAACCTCGAGCCCTAATGTTCCACAAACTTGAAAAGCAAACGAATTAAGCGAATTTATTAGAGAATTGATCGCGAGCTGAAATCAGTTAGAGAACCATTGGAAAACCTTGTAATACTCGACAAACATTTCGTCCTAGTTTGAAACTCTTCATCGGGACGCACCCACAACACCTAGGTTCGAACCAGTGGCTAAACAGTTTGGGCCCCCACCTCGTAACCGGAGAGTCCTGAGTTTGAGCTCCAGCCAGTATGTACAGTGAAGAGTTCAAAATTAAGGTTGAAACATCTGTCCAGTTTTCCAGCGGTTCTCTCACCGATATAAGCTCGTGATCAGTCTTCTAACCGATCAAATCCTTGCAAACCAATACTTGATAAATGAATATGTACATATATATGAATACAGACAAAATTTACCCATTTACCTGTACCATGGATTACACGGGCTTCCATAAGCATCACGAGTTACAAATAAACAGGTACGTATACCATTTAAGCCGATAGCTGTCAAAAGACCCCAATAACCGAAGGCTTCTCGAATAGGCCAACATTCTAGACTACAAGCACATTGTTCCACTGTGGCTACAGCATCCATTAAGACCAGCAACAGTTGGGGTGTTGAACGAAACTTTTCCAAGATAAAATTTGATGATATTGAAGGAAATGTCACCAGCAGTCTTGGTATAGAATGTAAATCGATCATATTATGCGTAGACTCTTGTGATGCTTGAGATTTTGAATTCTCAAATAACTGAAAGTGGATTTTTACAGTAAAGAATACAAATGAGAAGGGAAAGGAATTTTTAAAACAAGATATTCAAGTGTTAACATGTAGGGATTTGATTTGTTTTGAGTTTGATAAAGGATGTACTGGACAGCTGTTTCGTCCCAGTTCTGATCTCTTCAGAGGTAAGCACCTATGACCTGAATGAGAGTTGAGAAGTTGTGACAAGTGGGGTCCAACAAATTGGGTATGAGAACAAATACTCACCGATGACACTGACTGATGGTGACGCTAAATATCGTGAAATGACAAAATAGTTAGAATTTTGAGCGGCAGGATTCCGTCCTAGTGATTGAATGATCAACGAGCTTGCCTCGTAACCTGAAAATTCCGGGTCTAACCCCCAATGAAGTGTTCGATTCATACGGGTGGAAAGTTGTTTCACCGTGCTTCTGAACTCTTCAAAGGTGAAATACTCCCAGGGATCGAATCCAGGGTGGTCAGATCCCCAGGATAGTTCGTCTACTCATCAGTCACTTGTACCCGAATTCAGTGAATTATGAATCCTAAATTGGTTATCTTCTGATATAACGCCATCGATAAGCATTTCACTCACATTGGCATGTTCGCCATAGTGAATTTACACACACTCGCATATATAAAAATAAAAGCGTATAACTACGTTTGTACAACAGGATAAATAAATTCGCCTAAAAGAATCTCTTTGCCGAACTGTTTTCATTTTTCTTATTCCCTTGCTTAGATCAATATTTTAAGAGTATTCTATTTAAAAGGAAAACAACGAGGAGTTCAACAAACAGGTTGCTTCGGCGATTTATTCCTCAAAAGCTGTACAGTTACATAATTGGTGAATGGTGACTAGCAGTGGAATCCAGGATGCGCATTTCGTCCCATTTGGGACTCGTCATCTGGATGTACCTGCATTTCTCAGTGATTGATGATGTTCCCACCGATAACGCTTTGGTGTTTGAAATTATGGACACTGGGTTCGAGCCTCGGTGGGAACATCATCAATCACAGAGAAATGCAGGTACATCCAACTGACGAGTCCCAAATGGGGCGAAATGCGCATTCTGGATTCCACTGCTAGTCACCATTCACCAATTAAATACTAATTAAATGACCTGACATCGTCGAAGCATCTGCACGCACAAAGAGCCGATATGTCAACGGAGACCGAGCACTTCGGTCCACTCAATCGACTTACAATTACATAGTTACAATTATTATTTAATTCAGCACAAATAACGAAGTTGAGATTAAAGCAGATAATAATTTTCGAATTATTATGAAAGCTTGAAAGTGTGATGAAACGGAATTATATAAGATTAGTAAATTAGTTGCGTAATATGCTTAGTGTTGTTTAACGCCGGCAGCCTTACTGTAAAGAGACCAGAACTGGTTCTATCAAAGGAGCTGTAAGTGAATACCTCATCAGTGTGTGATGTCTTCTTCAAGAATGTTGATAAGTAGAGGAAAAATGGATTAAATGAGAAATGAAAGATGTTAGTTAGTGAACCAGCCATGAGTAATGAACGGCTGTCTCATCCCTGTCATCAAGGTCTGTACAACAGTATGCATTTCCCAGGATTCGAATCCAGGTCCTTCTGGTTAAAAGACTAACTCGTTGACCCTTGAGACACTGGAGCTCGATCCAATGACTCATTAATTCATACCGTTGCCAGTTGGTGATTTTAGCACTACCACTTGCAAAGCTGGATCCAGGAAAGGCAAATCATGTGTTGTTCAACTTGCAACTCTACACGTCATCGTCATCACAGAACAAAGCATAAAATAGCAGTCAAACCTGTTTCTACCTCAAATTCATCGACTTCAAGGAAGCCTTGGACAGTGTTGACCGAGAAGTACTTTGGAAAATACCTCAACACTATGGCGTACCTCAAGTCTTTATCAACCTTCTTCAACAGTTTGCCATATGACAATGAAAAGTGTCGGGTGATCCATGATAAAAAACTCACTGAAGCCTTTGAAGTCAAAACAGGAATAAGACAAGGATAGTTGTCTCTTATCACCGATGATTTTCTTAATTATGGTGGACTGGATAGTGCAGCACAGCACGCGTGAGGAGCGAGAAGACAGGAGCACGTTGGATCGATCGATAAGAAGACTCTACAAGATCTGGATTTCGTTATGGATGATTTATGCCTAATGCCACTCATGCAAACTCAAAGACTTGCAGACGAAAATCAACAAATTGGATGAGGCAGTGAGGCAGGTAACCAAGACAGGACTTGAGGTGAATACAAAGAAAAAGGAGGTGATGAAGATAACCAATCGACCAACCAGTCAACAGCAACAACAACAACCAGCAACAATCACCATCAATAGGAGAGATTTAACAAAGGTGTCTCCCTTCACTTATCGAGCAAGCAACGTTTCAACCATAGGCAATCAGAACTGACGAAGATGTCAAAGTAAGCCAGAATCGGAAAGACAAGATGCGCCTTCATCAACTTGAAATCAGTTTGTAAATCTTCTGCTTCACTCACTCAGCCAGGCAGCATAAAGAACAAGATTCGGATTCTGTTCAACACAAGTGTGAAGTCAGTCAGTTCTTCTATACGAGTCAGAAACTTGGCGTTCGCGTCAAGAAAAGCATTTCCAACGACATGTTGCAGACTTTTATCAACACCTCCCCACTTCTTTGGCTGCCTCCATATTGAAGACCAAACGGCCCGCCGGCCAGATAGAATTAGTGACAAGAAACTCTGACTGGCAAAAAACTAACCAAGAGCCGATCGCTCAACAAATATGTAGGAGAAATGGAAGTGGATTAGGCATACTTTAAGAAGAATGTCGGATGACATTGCGCCATCACCTGACCATCGCTTGAGTGAAATCGCAACTGGAAACGACGAGTGGGTCGCCAGTACAATGGTGATATGGAGGAGATCGTGTGACGAGGAGGAAGTAAGAGATTATGACCAATCTTTGGCCCAAATGGAGCGAACAGCAGAGAATAGAAGAAAGAGGAGATGTACTGTTGAAGCCCTATGTTGTAGTTGGAAACCTAGGGAAAAATAACAAAGTTAGCCATTGTCATCACTGAGTATTTATCCTCACAACCAGCATGATTGACCCCACTGGTCACGACTTCTCAACAGGACTTCAGGCAACTTGGTCAGTAGCCAGTCACTAGTGAGTCGGGTCTGTGGACAAATACTTGCCGATGACATTGGCTAGTAGTCGTACTAGAATCATGAATTGATATAAGTCAGAATCCATGGATCACTGGACCGACCCACGGTGGCTGAATCGTCTACCAGACTGACTTGTAACCTCAAGGTCCTGGGTGTATACTACTGAAGAGTCCCAATCACTAGGACAAAAGAGTTGTCCAATACTCCCTACTGATTTTCAACTAACATCTTTCATTTCTCCTCTTCACCATTTATTTATTCCCTCCGCTATTTATCAGTATTCATACAGAAAACATTACAAACAATATACTACTCCCAAATTCTTATCAGTAGCATTCACCACACGACTTCTGAAAAAAAGGTATTTTATTCTATATCTCCTTTTCTGTACCAGTTAAGTGACTTAGGCCACTTACATTTCCTTCCTTACGCTGTTATTTTCTTTTCAAATAGATCACAAGAAGTTTTTACAATTTGACAAGACAATCTCGTGAAACTACACATACAGTTTTTGATTATTTCCTGATTATTTCCATACCTCTTTTACTGCTGGTTGGTTACTTTAGTATGATAAAATAAAGGTGCATCTGTAAAACGTCACGATACTTCACATGATTACGCGTATATAAATATAGGTAGGTAGATTCATAGATCGATAGATAGACAGATCGATACAATTCACCAATGAAATGTCAGTGTTTCATGTAGTAACACGTGAGATTTCTTGTGCAGATAACGTTTTTTTTTAAGAATCATATTCTCCTACTGTGTTATGATTGCTATAGAAAACAGAGGAAGACAGCGGAAGGGAAACTAAAGTAGGAAAGAAGTGTATTTTCATTAAGCTGTACATTTTATTTTGATTATAGCTTCATTCCACATCGTATTTTAGGGACAAGTATGAAACTGACAGCATGTGATATCGGTAGCCCAAATTTTGCAGGCCGACCAATTGATTTCAGGTGAGCGTCGGTGAGAGTCCTAACCGCTGTGCCACCAATACATATGGGTGTACCTGCTGCAGTTTCCACTGAGTGAATAAGATGCTATTCCCGCAGAGGCTCGAACCCAGTACCCTTCGTTTCAAATGCCAAAGCATTATCCACTAAACCACTTTAGCCATGATAGCCACCACATCTTGTGGTAACACCATCACTCACTAACTGGGGAATCCAGCAAGTACATCCAGCTGACGAGCTCCAAAAAGGACGAAATGCACATCCTAGTGGATTCCGTTGTAGTTACCATCCACCAAATTAGTTTAGTTCAAATCCTCAGATACCGTCTAAGCATCCACCCATGGAGCTGACGTGTCAAAAGAGGTTGAGCACTTCATTCTAATCGATCAACGGGAAAGTCTAAATTGAATTATAAAGTTTTTAAATATTATTATTTTTCAAAAGAATGTTTATTGAACAAATAATACTCTTTTGGATAAGCTGATCTTCATCGGGTTCTACAGTCATATATACATAACAGTGAATGAATGAATTAGTGTTATGAACAACATTAATGTTGTTTAAATAAGATCGAATCAATAAAATCAATAAAGATGAATTAATCATGGTGTATGATACTTTAATCAAAAATGGTTATCCTGACAAATTTATCAAGAAACATTTGACAAAGAAAGCCGAAAAGGACTACCCACTATCTGTAAACAAGAAGCCACTTTATATACGATTACAATTCATGTGCGATATACCAAGTGAGTTAATTACGAAGAAATTAAGAAAATCAGTTCAAAGAACTTTTAATGTTGGCGAACTACACATCTTATTCTCTCTCTACACGACCGATGGTGCTACCTCGACTGAAAGATGAAGTACCTAGACTAGCCACTTC